TACAACCCTGTATCAAATAACAAATTAAGTCGAGTTGTGGGCTAGTAAAATCCTAATGGGAACCATGAAAACGTGTATAGGACAGAGCCTAAGCCGCTAGTCCTTTTCATGTTCGAACCCCTTACAACACGATTTGTTCTTCACACATGTGCTAGTATCATTCAACCTGCTCCTTCTAGAAGTGAAGATTCGGGTGTGGTGCAATGAGTCACTGTGAATAGTAGGCGCCCATCTAACGCGTTTGCCTTTAACGGCAAAGGTAATGGAGTCAACGTCAGGTTAAGCCTAAGAGCTAGCTCTTTATCCACAAAACTCTCATCGGCTCTAGAATCTACAAGTGCCCCCTGTTCAATAACCTGTTTAACTTCACATAACATAACTTGAGTTAATGTGCGTGGAGGGAAGTAAAAAAAGTCAGATTGGCTTACCAGTGTCTTCCCTTTCACTGGCGAGCCTGGTCTTTTACTGGACATATGGCTTGTTGACCGCAGTAGAAACATCTTGCCTCCACTAGTCAGCGACATCGTTCCTCCGGAGAGATTCTGGCCCTGCCAACCTGCATCGGCTCCTCCGAGTCAATGGGGGGCGCTGTGGCCTCTGAAGCAGGTGACGAGCCGAATGATGTCCTCCGGACAGGATGAAAAGCAGACGAGAACCCCCTGGTTCCGCTGGACCAAACGGCACTCTTCTTTCTTTCTCTATCCCTCTCACAGATACGATTGTCAATCTTAATAGCAGCCGCTACCATAGTTTCTAAGTCTGTGGGAGGATCCATAAGCAAAAAAAGATCCTTAATTTTCTCTGATTGTCCGTTCCGAAATATGTCCCTTGACGCTGAATAATTCCAATCGCAATCAACAGCCATAGTGCGGAACTCAATTGCATAATCCGCCACTCGGTGTCGATTTTGCTGAATGTAGGTCAAATTCTGTGCGCTCTCTACAGCTGGTGTGTGATGTGCAAACACTCTTTTAAACGAGTGGATGAACTGAGAGACAGAGTTGCAAGTTGCAGAATTTTTCTCCCACTCCGCCATAGCCCATGCAGCCGCACAGCCGGACAGATGAGAAATGATAAATGCGATCTGAGCATAATCAGAGCTATACTGGAGGCGTGTGGTGCAGTGGGTTGTGCGTTGGTGTTCGGATCAGGGGGTCACAGGTTCAAACCCCACTGCAGTCAGTATGTCGTTGTGTCCCTGAGACACTTCACCCCAAATTGCTCCTGTGGGGATTGCCCACAGTATTGAGTATGTAAGTCGCTTTGGATAAAAAGGTCTAGCAAGTGACATGTAATATATGTAGGGCATTAACTTAAATTGTAGATCGCACTAAGTCAGAAAGGATCTACAGTCATTGGAATATCCCGAAAACTTATCTGGAGGGGCCAAGCGGGACAGCATGAGATCCAGGAAGCGGCACTGCTGTAGTTGGAGGGGCTGCCAGCTGTTGAGGATGAGCCGCAGCATCAGGTAATGCCGGGGCAGTGGCAGTGGCACCGGCGTCCAGGCGTGCCATCACACGATGCACCGCCTCCGCCATGTTGCTGCTTTGGGTGTTGACAGAGGCTTGGAGTCCATGTTGCTGCTCATGCTGGTCTAGACGCTCGCCCTGAAATCGTATCGCTGCTTTAACTGGTTCTGCATCTGCTAATTCCATGTTTAGGCCAGATTGTACTGTTAAGGCTGTACAAAGGCGTGGAATCAAATGCTCCATGCAGAGACAAACAAAGTATCAAAATAAAGTGTTTTAATGTAATCAGGTAAAAACTCACTAAATACATAAAGCAACAAAACAAACACTCAATAAACTGTCTAACCTATACTATAAAAAAACTAATACAAAAATACTTACTTAAGGGTCCCATGTCATGCTTTTCCGGACCTGGTCACCCTATTATCACCCGTCCCCTTGTGTGTTATGAAGGTTTTTATGCATGTAAACGGTCTAGTAGCCATGCCCAGAGCTATGGCCGCACCCTCTGCCAGCCGAACATATATACTGTTGGAAGCTCAGGTTCAGTTAAAAACTGTATCCAATCATGCCAACAAGGGTCTGTTTCCTGTCTTGTAAGGGGAAATCTTCAACGTATGCCTTACCGAGGGCAGAACCACGACGAAGTCAGTGGTTGACATTTCTTGTTAACACTGTTCCTTCAGATGTTCGAGCCGGTATTGTACTGTGTGAATGGCATTTCACGGACCAAAGCTTCGCAAACATTGCAGCGATTCATGCCGGATATGTACAGCGTAGGGCACTGAAGGACGATGCTGTTCCTACTTTGTTTGGACCAGCGGGAGATTCAGGTACACAACCTGTAAGTATCCATTGTTGTTTGTGTATTTATGATTTTTAAAACAAACAAGGTATCTACCATGACTGTTTAAATGGGTAAACGTTTTTCGTTGCTAGCGTTTCCATATATCAACTCCAATGTCAGCAGATGCCCTTACATGTATCTCATAGCAGGAGAATGTCTAAAATGTCTTAAATTGCCGTTGTGAAACTAGTCTTGTGTTAATTTCTATCCCCATAATGACCCAAACAATAAAGTCTATGGCTTTTACATCTAATTATTTACCAGGCTAGAGAAAGAAAGTTGTCTAAATTAAATTCTGTCTCATTACATGACTATATTTTAGCTTGACTTAACTGTAATATGTTCGTTCTACATTTCAAACCTCAGTTACTCTAATATCTGTTAAAAAATCCACATTACAAAATGGTTTCATTATCACAGGTCAACTTCTTTGATATTCCCATTCTGGAATTACATCTCTCACAGTAGCCCCTTGGCCACTGATTCTGCATCTGCGTTACCTGTTATAACTCAATCAATATTTAGAAACATGTCAACATTCATCAAACAGTATCTTATCCCCAGATATGGACCAGGTTAAATCTAAAACTGTCAATCAATGGTCAGATTGAACATCTGAGTTGGGGCGGCAGGTTTCTTCCAGTCCCTAAATGAAAAAATCCCACAACATGCGATACAGTGTCATGCACATGCAAACACGTAGTTAAATGAAAGGATATTCCTTAGGCTAGTTTTAGCTAACATTGGTCCCATTAGGTTGGGTTTAGGTGGCGATATGTTAGGTCCATGTATAATGATATTATTTAAAAAGTAAACTTCTGAGGCCTTAGATAGGGGATAGGACTATTTTATTTAAATGTAACTTAACTTGTCAAATGTTCTGTAACTGTTCATGACGTGTAGCCTATGGTTGTGTGCCCTGAAAATTGCGTTTTGAGTCGATCCCTTGTAGCCAGTCTTCTGTCATAATTTCCTCCTTCATCTCTCTCCACTGTCTTTGCTTCTCCTCCTGAATCGTCAACTTGTGTACCAAACACAACATTTGTACATCTGCCACCTTCTGAGGATTGCTGTTCTCTGAAACAAACTAAACATGTACAAAATAGAGTCCAGTTTTAAAGCTGCACTTCTCCAGATAGAAAAGACAAAAGAGTATACAAAAATAAACGATTCAAATGATTATTTTTGTCATTTTGAGAAATAGGCTTCCCATCCTTCCAAAAAGTTAGATAATTAAAAAAAATACATCTACCCACATCACTAAATATCAATAATTAATTCATGGTGTGTTACATTTGTCCTAATGTGTGGTTTAAGGGGGAGTTAAAGGTCACTTTTTGTTGCTGAGAACCACATTGTTCTTGGTAAATGTAGTATCACTTCAAATTCTTAGTCCTCATAAAGTTTTCTGTGGTGCATAAAAACCATCTCAAATGCAGTCCATTTGTTGCACATCCAATTCAGGTAACAGATCGAGCAATATTTACCCCTTTCAATTGTTTAGTTCAAGAAAAAACCCAGCAATTGCATCTCCTGTTAACTGCACATCTCACTGTTCTAATATTAGTAGAGTCACTGAAGAGAAAATTAATTTAATTGAGTGAGAAGTGTGGGTAAAGTAAATGTATTCTTTCCCCAACACAGTACATTACTGGAAAACAGAACAAGTTGAATAAAAAAGTGTTTTTCAGCTCCGCTGTGAAGTGTGTCCTCCCTTTCTGCTGCTCTCTGCTGGACTGAGGCCGGAACATTCTGCCACTCTAGATTCATCCCTGTGTTGCACTGCTCCCATAGAAACAGGGCATAGTTCCACTGTCCATTCCACTGGTAGACTCTGCTTATTTAAACCCAAATAATAGGTTTTAGTCACTTATACCTTTACATAAAATGCCAGTCTTTATTTATGTAATGTTGTATTTAGTTCAGTTAGTACCAGATCCTCTGCCATGCATTGTGAACTGAGCTAACATTTAATATGAAGGTGTTTATGATCTTATAACTTTACTACATTTATTTAATATCTTACTTTATAGACGTGGATGAATGATGTGAAATATAACCAAGTGTTAAATCAGACTTTAGTTCCACCTGGAGTAAATTCACAAGCTACCCTACCGTATACAAAGTCATAAAAACTAGCTGCACTTTTACCAGCTTGGATAACACTTTAATGATCAATCATTATAAAACATATCATGTATTATTCTGAAATGGACCAATCTGGAAAATGACTACTTTTACTTTTGGTATATTTTGATGCTAGTACTTTGATTGAGTTACCTTTTGAATGCAGGACTTTTACTGTAACAGAGTATTCCTACACTCTGGTACTTTACTTTTACTCAAGTACAAGATCATCTGAGTACTCCTCCCCACTCTACTTATATGAATGTTTTTACGTTTGTTTTGAAGTTAGCTTGATCAATGTTGTACTGCAGCTCTCACTTGTGACCACTGGAGGGCGATACACACACATGTACATCTACTATGGTTTTTTCTACACGTTGTTTGTACTTTATTTTTAACTTACATGCATTTATGTTGACGCTTACAGGGGTAACGAAGCATTTCTCATAATGAATACATAATTTGATGAATAATTTGTAGGGATTTCTGAGGTTTTCTACAGTTTCTTCCTGTAGTTGTTGACCCTGCCCGGGTTCCGTCCTTCCTGATGTGGGTGTGGACAACAGAAGAACAGATGACTACACAAATAATGGAGGAGAAGCTACCCTAGCATGCCTCTTATAAGTTAGGAAAACAGGTTTTAAATTAGCTCACCTTCGCATTTATTTTCCTGGCTGCAAAGCGTAGCTGGGATGCTGTGTCAGAATGGGGAATCTTTTTGGAAAAAAGAAACAAACCCGAGTGACAGAACAAGACAAAGCGGTGTTGGTGAGTGTCTCAGCTAGCTTACATTAGCTAGCTGTCCAGTTTTAACTTTGATACTGTACGTTCAGTGCTGCAACAAGAGGGGGTCCGACGCACTGCTTTATAAATAAAAGCCATTTAACAACCTTTAATATCAGTTACCGTACAAACACAGTTTTTACAACACAACTTCATCACTTTAGCACTATGCAAGTAACTCTGTAATTCGGCTTTAATATCATTTAATTAACCCTTAGATGTAGGTCTGTTTATTACCTAAAACCCTTTTATTATTCTGCTTTCAGTTGTCACGTTTGAGAGCCGTAGCAAACAGTGTCACTCAATTGTATGAGTTGAGATATTAACCACTTAAACGAGATTGGTGCTGAGCTATGAGAGCCGATTTTGTCCAAAGAGGCTAACGTACATCAGGCCTAGCTAATCTAGTAACATATCTTAAAACTGGTCTGTTACAGGTTGTGTATGTTTGACAGCTTCTGTACAGGATGACAGAGCTGCAAGCCTGGAGTTTATGACACTATATTACTCAGTACTCAGATCTTGTACTTGAGTAAAAGTAGAAGTACCAGAGTGTAGGAATAATCTGCAAGTAACAGTCCTGCAATCAAAATGCTACTCTAGTAAAAGTACAAAAGTATTTGCATCAAAATATACTTAAAGTACCAACAGTAAAAGTAGTCATTGTGCAGATTGGTCCATTTCAGAATAATATGATATGATATGTTTATAATGATTGATCATGAAAGTGTTCTCAAAGCTGGTAAAGGTGCAGCTAGTTTGAATGACTTTGTATACTTCAGGGTAGCTTGTGGATTTACTCCAGGTGGAACTAAAGTCTGATTTAACCCGTGATTATATTTCACATCATTCATCCACATCTGTAAAGTAACTAAAGGTATTAAATACATGTAGTGGAGTAGAAGTACACCATGTACCTCTGAGTTGTAGTACAAAGTAGTACAACATTGAAATACTCTAGTAAAGTACAAGTCCTTCAGAATTGTATTTAAGTACAGTACTTGAAATCTACGTTGTTACTTTACACCACTGCACAGAGAGCAACAAAAGCTGCTCTATCATATGAATGCATTGGTTTAAAGTATATATATATATGTGAATATAAATGTCATTGTGTTGTCTTGGTTCTCTCAGCAACTGAAGCAGCAGAGAGACAAGCTGCGGCAGTATCAGAAGAGGATCAACCTGCGGCTGGAGAAGGAGAGACTTCTGGCCAAGCAGCTGCTGAAGGATGGCAAAAGAGAGTGAGTGGGAAAGGAGTTTGCAGTGTTACAGTCAAACAAAGGGACACATCATTACAGGCAAGAGATGCTGTTGGTTAAGGTGTCTGACCTGTGGAGTCCCTTGAATTGAAACGATGATTTGAAGATTCACATTAGGGACCATTTTTTTATGGAAACAATTGTTATTCATATTAAAACATTGTTAAGGATATTCAGGGTCCAAGATCCTTTAAATAACAATCTATGTACATTTTAACCTATTGTCATTAATACGTTTAATGGTAATAGATAGATAATAGGCAGAATTCTGTCAACATGTTGAAAACATTATTTGAAAAAATAATGTTGTTCAGTTCAACAGATTTAGATTTTATTACTTGTTTTTTTGACGAGAGCTTTTCTTCACTTTTACCTTAAAGTAGGGCTCGACGATATGAAAAAAGTAATATTTTTTTTTTAAGAAATACATTCATATTTATATATAGATGTGTAAGGTTGTCCATTGACACTGTTTCCACCAGGATAATTTTGATTAATAATCATCAGTAATGTAGATTTATTGAATAAGCAGGTAATGACAAATAATAAAACATCTGGAAAAGTTCAGAAAGTTAGACCACTTCACTGGAATGCAGCCTTTAAAAGCAGGACAAGATCATTGAATGTTGTTGCCATCTTACTCCAGGCTGCTTTGTGAATTCACGTTGAATATACTTTCTTGTTCAAACAGTAAAGCGCTCCTCTTGCTGAAAAAGAAGCGCTACCAGGACCAGCTTCTAGACAAGACGGAGAACCAGATCGGAAACCTGGAGCGCCTGGTGAGGATTTGATTGACACCCAGTGGTAACAGCAGCAGCTTCTTTGAAACTAACAGGTCATCTTTTTTCTGCTCCTTTTAGGTTCAAGACATCGAGTTCGCCCAGGTTGAAACAAAGGTCATCCAGGGGCTGAAGATTGGAAATGAGTGTCTGAAGAAAATGCACGAGGTAGGTGGTGTACGGAGTCCCAGGAGGGGCTGACAAATGTTTTTATCCCATGTTTGATACATCACCCCCCCTCCCTGAGTCACCTGTTATTGACGGGCTCTGGGTGCTCCCCTCCTCAGGTGATGTCCGTTGAAGAGGTCGAGCGGATTATGGATGAAACCCAAGACGCCATAGAGTACCAGAGGGTAAGTTCCTGTCACACATACATGACAATTATTTCTGCACCTATTTCAATATATAATATCTAACTATGTAAAATGTCTAAAAACCTACACCCATTATATATTTTGTTGAATTATGAACTTGCATTCTCCAAGTTCCAACTAAGTGAAAGAAATAGGTCATTGAAATCAAGACAACAGTTTATTAGATCATAGGCGTGTGGTGCAGTGGGTTGTGCGTTGGTGTTCGGATCAGGGGGTAACAGGTTCAAACCCCACTGCAGTCAGCATGTCGTTGTGTCCCTGAGAAACTTCACCCCAAATTGCTCCTGTGGGGATTGCCCACAGTATTGAGTATGTAAGTCGCTTTGGATAAAAGCGTCTAACATGTCATGTAATGTAATAAATTGACTTTTTATCCACACACATAATACAATACACTTTTCGATTTTGGTTGTTTTTCACTTTATATTTTAAATAGATCAAGGATTTAAGTCTTGGGAAAAATGGGTTGTCAGAGATACAAGCTGGTGAATATTAGCGGCAACTAAACTACATTGGAAAAACTTTGATTTGACAACAAGTAACGGCTTTATTCAGTGTTTTTATCACCAAGATTTGAGATTCTTTGGAGGACGATACCTCTGTGAATAATTTGGCTCCTGATAAACCCCTCCTGAATGATTTGTTAATCCTAACCGGTAGAAGCTCTCTGCAATGACAGCATGGTGGTGAAAACAACAATTCCCATGATCCTTTGCCATTAAGGATGTCTCCAAACTGGGTGTAGCGACCACAAAGAAAGTGGCTGGGAGGCTCAATTAGGCTTATCAAATGTTCCAAAGAAGAGTCTCTGCAGAATGATTTTGAATATAATAATGCATTTACTAAAGGCCTAAGATACTCCTAAACAGGGGGACTAAATGCAAAGAGACCAGTGATAAACACAGAATAAATAAGCATTTGTGTTCCAATAATGACATGTTGTCTATTTAAATACTTAGAAAGATGTTCTGCCAGCAGATATTTCTAAAGTCCGATGTACAGTATCAAAGTGTTAGAGGTTTTCTGACAGTGTGTGGTCTCTCCGCAGCAAATAGACGACATGCTGGCGGGCTCCTTCACTCAGGAGGATGAAGACGCTGTGCTGGCTGAGCTGGAGGCCATCACTCAGGTACACTGATCCCCATTACTCAGATATGTGTATTTGAATTAGAGATGAAAGAAGTGTTTGATCATGCGTTTTGTCCCTCAGGGAGACGTGGAGCTGCCTGAGGTTCCTGAACACGAGCTTCCAGAAGTCCCCGAGGCCACAGAGGAGAAACCAGGTCTGCTGTTGTCTTTGCTTTTCATTATTTTCTGACCTTTGCTGTGACATTTTGTTATCCTGTTTCTGTTGTACTGACATCCCAGCCGTGTGATCCTAACGTGTTGCTCCCCTTATATACCAGGCTGAACCCATTGCTTTTATCTCTTGTTCCTGATTAAATGAAACCTTGGCTCAATGGCAGATCATTTACAAAATAACCAAACATCATAGTGATCGAGCCACACTCTCTTGGGGACATTTTAGTTTCTGGATTTTACTAATGTCTAACTCAATTGAACCGACAGCTGTCAGGCAACATTAGCTGCTTCTGTGTCTGTGACCAACTTCTCTCAACAACACTGACTGAAAAAGTGTTTCTCAGAATCACTTCCCTCAGAGGGGAAATGTGCATTTGTTACAGAAAGAAAAGAGCCCAAAACAGCTTGATATTAACCAAGAAGCATGCGTTAAAACAATGTTAAAGATACACAACTTTTTCTTATTATTACACATTTTACAAAATACACATCCTGTAACAATAAATAAACATCCTTTATTGTTTACCCGCCTTAAATTAATGCCAAATCTGAATTCCAGCGTTTTCCTAAAGTCAATCATTTTGTGATGGACTGCCGTTTAATGCAGAGAAGCACCACTTTCAGATGGAAGGAAATTTGTGTAACAATATTCTGATACTGCCTTTCCCTTTAGTTGTACACCCTACTACTAAACAGGATTACACCATGGCTAAGGATCTGATTTGTATTTGCATTGGTACCAACCATGTTTAAACAGTATAGCTGTTAGCGCTGCCTCAGTTTGCCCACCTGTGACGGCAATTTTCAACAGCTGCCTTTGACAGTCCTGTTTTAGGTTGTGTTATAATTAACATAAAATACTACTAGTATCTAATCAGAATCAGAATCAGGTTTTTCACCAGGTAGATTGACACGTACGAGGAATTTGACTTGATGTCAAGGTGCAGACATAAAAGTAAAACAAAAACTCAAAAACACAGATAAAGAACTATTTTAAGAAAACTATAATAACATTAAAAATATAGGCTAAAAATATAGCAGTATTTACATAGAAATAGAATGGAATAAAATATGTGCAGTAATAACATTTACAGATATTGTGTAAATGAGAATGGATAGCAAAAGAAAGTCAGAGTGATGCAGCCCTACCTTCTCAGCAGGGTTGTTAATAAACCAATGTACTGCTTTTTTTGTAACTCTGTGAATCTCTTTGTTCCAGAGCGGGATGGTCCCAGGAAGAATCCGGAGAGAGAGATGCTCGCTGCGTAGGAGCTCCTCCACAACACTCCTCCACCCCCCTACAGACACACACACATCAGCTGCAGAGGCCTGTGGTGAAGTGATCAGCCTCTCTCAGAGACTGCTCCTCCTCCATATCGTCACCCGATCTCCGTTTGTCCTCGCTGCCCCGCGTCCACACCGGCAGCCGGGACCGCATCACTGGAGGAAAGCTGATTTGAATCCTAAAGACCTGTGGAATCAGATAACTGTGCCTAACCTTTGTTATATCGCCACTAAATCATTTGAAATACATCGACTTCCCTTAATGCATGTCATTGTGAATCATTACATCATCTCTTAGTATATAAAGGCTATTTACAGAAAGACTTTGAGATTCCTGCATCTTTTCAGTAAAATGAAGGTGAGCGGAATATCGTTTGATCTCAAGGAATTGTAAAAATGACTTAAAACAAATCAGCAGAAACATTTTTCCAAAACCACAATGTCCAGATGACACGGGATGTTTCACATCAGAGCGTGCTGTGAACTGATTTCAGTGGGACTACTTTCTGTCAAAAAACACTCTGTAAAATCAAATGCAAATTAAACTTTTTCTGTCTTTTATATCATACATATCTGCTCATTTTAAGACAAATGTGGAAACCAAAAGGAAGCATTGTATATTCAATTGTTTTGGTTTCATGATGACACTCCCTTTCTCTGCATACATGTATCTGAATACTTTTAGTTCTCAGTCTACATAGATGGAAAACTTTACCCAAAGACCTGATTTCTCTTGCTTTTATTGATAAGAAATATTTTGTAAGTGCAAAAAGACAATGTGATATATGTTGGATGGAAGAAAAACAGAAGGACTGAATGCAATATACAAAACAACTGTTCTTGTAATTGTATAAAACTGACCTTTTGACAAAGGATTAATACAAAAGCCCTGCTCTGTAGTCTTTGGCATCTCGTCTGTCTCACAGTTATTTGACCCACCCTGCAACATCTTCCTAACATTTGCATGTAAACTCTCAAAAAGACTGACCCCGTTTCCAGCCGCTTCACTGATCTAATTCTCTGCTCCCCTTGTGGATTAGCTCCGTGTCATTGGAGAGAGGGCTAAGCATATCGTCTGAGGGTTTACCTGAAGCCCAGACAACAGTTGGTAATCTCTTCAATCCACACCCTGGCTCTCCACACACTGAGTATTGTAAGAGCAGGGGCCTTTCATTATTTCACTGTGCCCAAATGTATAGAAAGATGGCTGACAGAGCTCAACTTGTATCATTGTAGATCCATTTGAATAATCTGTAAATCATTTAATCTCAAACAGTTAACACTGCCGGCTCCTTCCTCTGCAGCATCCCACAGGTCGTCTTAAAGTACTTTGTAATGTCTCTATCTATACTTTCTTTTTACAATAAAACTCACTTTTGTTATTTATCTCTGTGCTGCCAGGTCAGATGTTCCACGTCTGAACACAAGGTGGCGACAAGTAGTTTCTCTACCATCTGTTGAGAGCAGGTGAATTATTGACGGGAAATGTATTGGAGCATTCCTTTCCATGATGCCAATGTCTATAATGCGTTCTTATGATACTTGTAATATGTTATTATATGCTTATAGAGCTTTTTGGCTATAGCTACAATACCTCTTATTACATGTATAGTGTTTTTTTTTACAATATTCATAACATATAAAGCATTTTAATTATGACTTCTTAAATGCTGGCAACTCACAACCTTTTGTGTTGCCATAATCATAGTGTTTTAACATTCCATTGGGTTTAATGCATTATTATCACTGTTATAATGTATTATAAGTTGGTTATTGTTCAAGTGAAGTGAAAAATTATGTTCCAAATTGTGCAACAACAACAAGATTATTTCAACTTTACTTAATGACCACTTGGAGTAAATCATAATCGCATTACAAATTCATTTTACCACTGATATAATGTATTTAACTATTGGAAAATATACATGATCCTTGCAAAAAACGTCAGTGTGCATCCAGCAATTTCTTTAAATAGTGACATTTTAAGAGCTGTCATGGTTATTTCACAAAGCATTAGGAATATATACGAGTCCTTTTAAATATACTGAGCTATAAGCATATTGTGTAACACATTATAATTATGCTTCTAGACAAGGACGTCTTTGACAGGGTTACCAAACCTTTTATAGACAATGATGAGCTTCCAACTTTATGCCAGCAATTTATATTGGTCCCTTTCTCGGAGTAACATCATAATGTCCCCTGTACACAATGGCAGCTCCATATGACTAGTCCCTGACCTTTAACCCATTTAAAACCTGTGGAAAGATCTAGAACACCAACTGTGAGCTGGACCTGATCCCCCCCCACATCAGTGTTTGCCTTTTGTGTTAGTTGTTGTAGTTGACTCTGAATTGGATATATGATCTGTTACAGATGTGGTGGAAAGTCTGAAAAACATGAGGCTGTAGGAGCAGCACTGATTTTGGAATCATGTTAAAGAAAAAATAACATATTGGGGTAATGATTGTACAGATTAGCCAATCCTTAAAATGTAGCTCTCATTTTGTTTTTGAAACCTTTTTCTAGTTTTTAAAGAATCTTATTGAACTGTTACTGGACTAAAGCACCAGCTAGATAAATCAAAGGAAGGCTTTCTAATGTTTCTATCCTTGGCCTTGAAGTACTTGCGTCCTTAAATGTTCCTTTGTTGAGGCCTTCTGCACACCTGAAACGTTCCTGACCTCCTCACACTGAAGTTTGAATGGACAGCTCCATCGGTTCTGTCGCACAGACAGAACCAGAGTGCCGCGCTGATGAATCACCAACGTGGATCTGAATCCAGATACAAAGGCTGAGAGGACGCTGGTGAGTAGGATGTTCATGAAAATCAGAAGCTGCTCAATGGAGGCCTGAGTACGTAGGTGATCGTGTGTTCCTGCCCACATTAACACCTGCCTACCTGATACTCCTCCACTGTGGACAGAACACACACACTCATGCAGAACTACAGTATGGTAAGTTACAAGGGCAGAGCCAACTAAAATCTCACATTATTTAGGACCATCTCATGTTAAGGCTCACATTTTGTAATGTACATCAAAAGTCTTTAAAGGTCACCTGCTATTATGCAAAATCCACTTTTTCATGTCTTTTTTACATCACCATGTGTCCCCTCTGTGTAAAGAGATTCTGAAAGTTTCAGGAAAAAAGATTCTCTCTCTTTTTGTCCTGATCCATTTCTATAAAAACCTGTCTGAAAATGAGCTGATCCGATTTTGGCCACTTTATGATGTCATAACGTTTTTTTGGCTTGTGCAGAGTCATAGAGATTTAATATAGAATAATGTATATAATATATAATAGAGATATTTCTCTCTAGGGCTCTGGGCTTATCTAACCATTAGCCAATCACCAACCAAGGTTTGGCCCCCCAGAGCGTTCCGGTGGCAGATCTATCCACTTTGTGACCCGTTATCGTTTGCGGCGTCCGTTTCCGCGTTTCCGTTACGGCCTCGTGTGAACGAACGGGCTATACGAAAGAGAAAAGTAGCGGATACAACCGTTTGCGTTATTGTGTAAACAGCACATAAAGCAACAGACAGAGAATCAGCACTTTTGAAACAGGGCTGAAACAGAGGGGATTATGGGATGCTGCAATGATCTGTTTGGTGTTTGGAGCCAAACACTTCAGAGACATGTTTTGTATATATCTGAGTGATTTACTTGATATCATGTGACATAGCTACTGTCAAGTATGAATATGTTTTTTTTTAATATTGGGGGACAAATATAATAGGGGTTTTGAGGTTGCCCCCTTGATCAAATATTCATTCTGCTTTTTTGTGAATTTAAATGCAATTTCAGATAAAAGTGTCTTTAGTTATCAGGTTCAGGTTATTTATTAGTACCCGTAGGTAGATTGAGTTTACAGATAAAAAGACAAGGGATCCATTCTAAAAACAGCTCAGACATATCTTTAATAACATGGGAATTCAAAGTTAATACATAAATAAAAGGCATCTGTGTGACACTGCTACGACGTATTCTTTGGTGCGATAGCTGCCGTAATAAAGCTGTAACTTTGTTCTACACTTTGGAACAACTAACCTCAGTCTACTGTACAAAAAATACAGGGGATTTTACAGTAAATTACTGGCAGCAAAGTTGCCAACAAGTTACTGTATTTTTACTTTACAGTAGCGATCTTGTATTTGGTTTACAGTATCAAAATCAGTGCTGTATTTTTATATTACTGTATATTACTGTAATGTTGTATGTTGCTGTAATCTCAAAAACAATATTTTACTGTGATTATACAATACTGGTATTGTGAAATAACAATACATTACTGTTCTGTATACAGTATAATTTATAGTAGTGTATGCATTAACAGTATATTACTGCAGTTGTCGCTAACTAATTTTAGATCCATGTCTCATTTGCAATAGGTGCTACTTGAAACGGTAAACAAAAACTAGGATACAATTTAAATAAAAATGTTTATTGATTTCATTTCAATATTAAGTTCAATATGAAAAACATGGTAAAATAGGACAGTTCATAACAGATATAATTATAACAGTTCATAACAGATATAAATACAACAGTTTATGACAGATTACATTGGACAGTTCATGACAGATTCAAATACAACAGACCAATTAAAATACAAAATCACAAGTAGTGAGGTCACAACATGAAATCACAACAGTAAATCTTCTGTAATTATGTAAAAGTAAGAGAAGTGGACAAAATGGAAAAGGCAGCATATCACTGAAAATGTTTTCTACTTCAAAACTGAACAATTAAATACTATATAGATCATACATGTATGAAGCACACATACAAAACATGTGGAATTAAAATACATGTTCAGCTTTACATGTCAAAAGTAAAGTGTCAAACCAAATGATGAGCCTTGGTGTGCCTGGTAGCACACACACACACACACACACACACACACACACACACACACACACACACACACACACACACACACACACACACACACACACACACACACACACACACACACACACACACACACACACACACACACACACACACACACACACACATATGATGTAATTAGCAGGAACCACAGCAGGTTCAATGAGACTCAGCTAATTATGACCAATTGGTGGTAGTATTAGAGTGCAATAATTGTATGTTTTTGAGTGCCTGTGTGTGTAGGTGTGCATGTGTTTATGTTGAACAAAAATAAGTAACATGTACGTAACAGCCTCAGGATTCATGTCGTAACACCCCAAGCTGAAGGATGTGTTGTTAGTTTAGTTGAAGGTAGAACAGTAAATGTGATGCTTTCAAGGCACATACAGTACATGTCATTGCCATGTACTGTATATGAGGTTACCGATTGAACTCAACGTTTTGAAAAAAGACGGCCACAGTTTCAAAATTAGAGAGAAGACATTAATTATTCCTTAATAGTTCTCACTCTGGTGGTGGTCAGGATTACTACACAGAATTACTACACAGATGTGGACATGAATGTAAAAATAATTGCTAGATCTTGTCAAGTAGTTTTGATCATAAAGTAAAATAGGATTTTGTTCAGTTCCAGATACCGGTGACTCAATGTGTTGCAGACACACTGTTATCTGTTCCCACAGAACTAAACTGCATTCTCAAATACGTTTAGCTAGAAACATATTTTCTCCCACGTTACGTTCATTATGAATGTATCTCAAATACGTTTATTTTCTACTTATCTTCTAGAAACCTATTTTCTCCCATGTTACGTTTCTTATGAGCGTATCTTAAATAGGTTTATTTTCTACATATCTTTGCCATTTAGTGTCTTGCTTATAATAATGGTAATAGTCATTTATAAATATTATTTTAGAGCACAAATTTGAAATCAGTAGGCGAGGCTGTAATTTCGCCAGCTGTTACTCTCAGGAGCGAGGCAGAAAATAATAGTTTTAAACCACGGCAGACTA